TTCAGCAGCGTTTTAAAAACCTAAAAAGGTTCCTATCTCATCCGTAACACCTAACACTAACTCTCCCAGCCTGCATGAACAGAAAAGTTCATCAGATCTTTTGCTGACATTTTCCAGGGAAAGTATGACTTTTTATTAAGGAACTGGAAATTATTTATTAATGGCAACTTTCCACAGGAGAAAACCAGAAGTTTTCCAACCAGCTGTAATATATGAGACAGAAAGAAAGCATACCAAAAAAAAAAAACCCAAACCCAAAGAATTTGCATAGGTGAAGTGCATACTTTCACCACAGTCAGATAGCATCGCCTAGTTAAACAATTACCACACCAGTGTTTAGACAAATGTCTGCTCCCTGAGTGCGTTTAATATTACTGCTGACAAGGAGATAGGTACCTAAGAGGTATCAGTGTGCTATTCACAAAAGACAGAAAAGGAATGTACTTACGGATTTTTTTAAAAAAACTTTCTGCTCTGTTCTGTTGGCATTTAAAAAAGATGGATATTAATGACTTCATTAATGCAACCAGAGTGTTGCAGAGTATAATACCACAAGACAGTACAAATCAAGTGTTCCAACAATAACAATAACTGTTAGAAACAATCAGATTAGAGATGACAACATGAAGAACAAATATCACATAAGTTTGTAATCCAGTGAATCACAACCAATCCTGCAAAGGTGCTCTTCATTCAGATAGATGCCTCATCTAGATGGAGTTAACCATATAAAACAGGCTGTAGGACCAGAGCTGAATTATCTGTGGTTTCAATATCACAATGGAATCTACTAACACAGAGTCCTCTGCCCCCACATGATCTTACCAGATCGGATGAAATTTGGTTCTAGTACAGCACGCATGATCTAGGAACTGTATCATTAAAAAACATATGGCAAAATAGCATACCAAACTGATGCTATTATGTGAATTCAGCTGCTGTACTTCATCTGTGCAAGTTCAACACTAACTTATTTTGCAATGTGTTTACTTGGTTTTAGAAAGTCTTTTCTATGCAAGAGTGTAACATCACAAAGCAAAGCTAAAGAAAAAAAAAACGTCCCAGAGATCTGTGAATGTATGTACCCCCAGTACATCCTCATGCCTGATTTTCTAACTTAGAGTTACAAGTACATAACATATATTTCCTAATATCACCTTATCACAATCCTTCTCTGCTCCAGGCCCTATTCCTGAATGTGTTTTGGCAGTGCAATCTCTTAAACCATGAAAGTAGAACCACATGATCACCCTCCACCATAAGCATCAAGTTAATGTAAGTGGTCACAAATAAGGGCTTGCATCAGGTAGACATGTCTAATTAAAGAAAGCAACTCATGCTTTTTTAATGAAAAATACATATACAATTAACTAAAGCATTGTAAGAAAACATTGGAAACTTTATTTGAAATTTCATTTAGCCCATTCAAAAACAAAGTGAGGACCAATACCTGAGGTGCGAGGTATGATTTTGGGTGTCCAGCCTGAAATACCTCTGATTCAGTTTGCAGAGGTACTAAGAACCCAAAATATCCCACAAGCCTCTATAAGGCACTAAGTATTTCTATGGATCCAGTGCATCTATCCTGCACAGGCCATGAGAAATCCCTGGCTATTTTAAGGCTTTCCTGCTTCATTGCAAGGCTGTAGCCTCTACAGCAAACATCCCAGGAACCTCACTATTTTTTTTTTTCTTCCTCTTGGTCTCTGAAGTCTGTGTTGCCAACCCACCCAGATCTGCAAGCTTCGGGCCCAAAGAAGATGCAAGAGGTCAATTCTGACAGACATAATGATATCCCTGGCAAGTGCAAATACTCAGCCCTCAGAATTAAGAGAATTAACATAACATTTGCCAAGATTCTCTTAATAAATAGCCACTTGGTTTTATATCAGCACAGAAGAAAGGTTAGTCCTCAGTGAGTTCAGTGCAGATAGCCTCAATGAAATTAACAGCTACTCTCAGCTTTCAACTGATAAAAGCCAAAGTTAGAATCTAGTCTTAGCATTTTTGTTTGGAGACCTCAGGTGACTATTTTGTCTTCCTTACAAAGAAGGACATTTGAAGTTTCTAGCTTATTTTATTCTCATGCAGCTTACAGGTCTTCCCCTACTGGTTCTGCGTAATCCAAAATAGCAAACAATAAACTGGCAGTAATTCTCCTTCTCTTCCTCCACCTCCTAAACTCCTCTGTTTTCAACAGATTCTGGGAATCTCTGTTCCCTACTGTCGACATTGGGAAATTAGTATTGAGATGCTGGGTGAAGGAAGAGTTTCATCAGCACTTCTTTGGTGCTAAGAAACAAAGTTGGTTGCCAGCTTTCAGACAAGGAGGAAAAAGAAAGAAGTGGTTTGTGGGAGCCAAAAGTGTCAGAACAATGTGAAAAAACATGTTACATCATATTTAGGACTTTTGCAGTCCTGTATGAGAATAGGGAGGAAGGCAGGTGGGAGGGGAGATGGGAAGGGGAAGCCATAAAATGGGGTTTTATTCTGTATTTCTCTAACTGACTGACGTAGACAAACAAGACACAGATAAGATTTTTCTTTAGCCTCCACTACCCTATTTTTTTCTCACCAAGAGTTAGCCAAGTTACATTCTTCCTAACTAGTATCTGATATGTTCATGTAGAAACAAGAAGAAAGATAATTCCAAACAAAGCCCAACAATGTGGGGGCAGTTCGTCAGCAAGTAGGCCAAGAGCCTTAATTCATACCTAACAACGCAATGAACACTAGAGCCTCTGCTGATGTTGCCAATGCAAGTCTTCTGCTCAAGCTGATGAAAGGCTATTAAACAGGCTTCTTCCCACATTTGGGAAACAGTAGAAGAAAATTAGAAAAAGAAAAAAAGGAGTGGAAACTCAAATCTACATGTTGCCACTAAGGCCTGTCTCCCACAGGAAGTAAAGCACATGAAAACACAACAAAAATATTTTTAGAAAACCATTCTCATATTATTGATGATGTGACCCAAGTCATGAAGCAGGACACTTCTGAGCAAGGCCGATTTCCTGCTATTCCATCTCCATATCTGTCTGTCTTTTGGCCTTAGGTCAGGGTGTCTCCAGGGACTTTTGAACTGCATTTTGTTTTGAGAAAGTTTGTTTTTCCCGGAAGAATCACAAGGGGAATGCTGAGATACAACAGCAAATCCCATCTGCCATGCACAGATTTCTAAAAGTGCCTGGAGAGCTTAACCTTTGCTTTGCCTGTGTTAATGTAAAAGAGAGAGAGAGGTGCAGAAGGAAAAAAAATTAGATTTCTAACCTATTCATTCCTGTTTTTCCTGCTAAAAGGAAGAACAACTGCTCTGCTTCGTGTATTCCCTCCTTCTAGCAGGCAGAATCCTTTTTTAATAAACTTTTCACTAGAAATTTGTTACCTTCATTGAATTTCCCAATATAGCCATAAGGCAAATATTTCCTTGAAAAGAAAAATAAAAATCAAACTGTGATACAGCTTATAAAAAGACAAAAAATAAAACATTTTGACTAGGAGAGGTTTTCACCAAACTGAAAAATCACTTTTATAGAGAAGCCATTAATTTCAAGGTTGCCTTGAAATCTTTCAGGAGTTACCAACTGGATTGTGCTCCATACTGATATGCAGAGTCTGATTAAAAGCAGGTGGGTAACTGGAAATAGGTTATGACAGTAAAGGTTGAGATTTGACTTAAAAAATTAGAAAACACAAAATCTGGGCTGTGGTCATTACTGACCTCTGTGCAGATATTAGAAATAAATGTCCTTCAAGGAAGGAAAACCCCAACAGAGCAAAAATAAGCCACTCATCTCTACTGAGGGAGCAAGACTATTATTTACATCTGCTTTCTGTACTTCATTTTGTTACTGCAACAATGTGGGGGCAGTTCATAAGAAAATAGTCCAAGAGCCTTAATTCACACCTACAACCCAATGAACGCTAGAGCCCCTGCTGACGTTGCCAACCAAAGTCTTCTACTCAGCTGCTGCAAAGCTATTAAAGAGAGACCCAGAAATGGCCCCCTGCTCTGCTATAACATAAGCAAGCCCAATGCTCACTTGGAACTTACCCAAAAGCATTCTCAGTAGATTTAAGTTTTGGGGCAGTGACTTCACGTTCTCCATTCTGTGCCTTTTGTTCAGGAACTCCCTTCTTGCGATCCCAGATACTTTTCATTTCCTCTTTGGGTGCTTTTCCTTTATCCTTGTCATCTTTTACCTGCTCAGGAGATACCGTAAATCATAGAACAAAAAAAAAAAAAAAAAAAAAAAAAAACCAAAAAAAGGAGTCACAATGAGGCATTCTAAATAACAGTGGAGGAACACAGATCTCTTGGTATTGATGATTAACTAAGCAACTGTCTTCAAAATGTTTATGTTTTATGGCAGAAGTAGTCTGTAAAGCTCTAAACTGTGACCAATCACCACTCTGCTGTCCTGATCTAAATTCAAGATGAAAACATCTTGAATAACATTATCAGTCTTCTGTGAAGGTTTGTTGCGGCCATGGGACTATGCTACCACTTTGCCTCATTCTGCAACTGCACCCCACTGAGGCACCCCAAGGCTCTTCCGTCCCACTGCAGCATCATTCACCTGTTGCCTATTAAGATTCTGGGTTGCAAATTCTTTGGGACTAGGCTTGTTGATACATTCTTGGTACAAGGTTTAGGGCGTTGGAGTAATAAAAATAACACATAACCTTCACCGATTCTCAAGTTTGCTTGATGAAGTTGCAACTCTTTCCAGTGTCATAGCAGATGGATACTTCAGTATTGCAAGACTAATGGCCAAAACACAAAATTATCTTTATATCAGAGTAAAACTTACTCTGACAAAAAGCACAGTCCTACCAGAGGGTAGTCGTGGATAGTGTTACCAGACATGAATACTTAATCCTATGAAGCAGCAAATGTTCTCTCCAGAAACGCTAGAGCAAAAATCCCTTCTATCCTTGCGAAGCTTTGTCCTATAATTCTTAATAGCAATCAAGTATATTTAGCACATGGATTTCACTCTCCAGTATTCCTTCAGAGCTATGAGCTTGAAGTATTTATCAATACCACAGATGGCCTGATCCCAGCATGCTGAGTCATGACTAGATGCTGATAAGAGGAGGAGGACATGGACTGACTGAAGTTCTTTATCCTCAGGTAGAATTATTCCCACTCAGTTAGTTAGACTACCAGCCTAAATAAACTTTCAACAGCAGCAGATGAAACATTTACCTTCAAAATATTTTTTTTTTCCAGCTCTACCATGTTGGAGGAAGATTCTAGCTGGCAAGCAAGAAATACCTTCTGTGAAAAATTCATATGAAGACCTTTAGAAAAAAAATAGTTTTGTCCCTTGGAAGCCTGTTGCCATCCCATTTGCTAACTAGAAAGAAAAAGAACTTCCATAACAGCCCTGTCTGCAACACAACTGCTTTTATGGTGTTCAAGTTGCACCTTGAAATAAAAAACTAATACACCCTCCCCTCCACTCCGCCCCCCTCCCCCAAATCAAATTAAATTTCTATCCTTCCTCATCAAAGAACTTCTGGACATGCAGTATTACTAATAAAGGATGAGTTCAGAGTCTTCAAAGTCAAGATCCTCCCGAGGCATTGTATTAAACTGCTGAGTGAAGTCCCAAAGTCAACCTCTGACTTTACCTGAGGCCAGTTTGCTCGCTCACAGAAACTCATACGATGGACAATGCCAAGGTGGCACACGCTACAAGTGAGTACTGGGTGGTTAAACTACTTGAGTAAATTTGCCACTGGTGAGGGATGTTGGACGCAACCCACAGAGACATTTGCTCTGTCCTGAAAGCAGGCAGCGGCAGTGCAGATTTTCTCCACCCTCTCCTGCCAACGGGCTTTAGCCACGACCTGGCAGAAGTACCCTGATGGACAAGAGGGGAGTTCAGTTTCCGTGACCGTGCATTCTTTGGCCATGATGCTGTGACTGCTAGCAAACAAGGCCATTATTGCTAGCAGCCTCAAGGAATGGTTTTCTGTTTTCTAGGAGCTGGGCTGAGACAACCAGGGCTATTCATTGAGCCTAATGAATGCCATCAGACAGTAACATCTTTTGGGTGCTCCCAAATCTTGGCAAGATTGTAGCTAGTGATCATGATCACAGCAAAAATCTCTGCTGCCTGTTAGCAATCTCCTAACCCTTCAGTCCCAGCCAGGGTGAGACTAAAACCGGCAATGTTGATTGTTGCAAGGTTTCACATGCCAGGATGTCTGTGTTGGGATTTTGAGAGCATAGGATTTCCTTTGCTGAGATTTTCATCAAGACCTTTCTAAGTCTCATTAAAAAGCCAATACTTCCAGCTGCCTGATGTTTTGAAATCCACTGGGGAGGTTCATATCTCCTACATCTTAATTGAAATCGCTGAGAAAACTAATATTAAAACAATATAGTTTAAAAATTAATAGGTTAGGAAATAGCATTTCAGAAGCCAGTAGGATTTATGATAATGTGTTTGCACTTGAGAAAAGCATTAATACAGCTTGGCCTCTTTATTCAAAAAGATGATAAAACAAGATATTACAGAAACATTTCACAGCTTTTGGGCCCAATCCTTCTCCTACTAATTTTAAAGCCAAAACAGAGATTGATTAGCACAGAAGCAGAAACCATTATGTCCCATTCCAAAGGCAGGCAACAGAAAAAGTACTTTCCCTTGCCTCGGTGCTTCCCTAAATTACAGGCTAATTCAGCTTCTGCTGAATTCAGTAAAAAGGACTACACCGACTCCAGTTGGAGTAGACAGGTGGTATTACCTGAACTGAAAACAGTTCACATGCTCTCACAAATCTTGACCATCAAGTCAAGACAGAACACGACCAAAAGCATGTTTAGCTAATTTCCAGCTGTATGTATATTTTAATCTTTCTCTACACTGCTTCTTTCCTGTAGGGTGTTATGCTAATATCTGAGAGTTGAGATTTCTAAATCTAGAGTTTGAACACCTTCAGACCACAGCGAATCAGTTACTAAGGTTGGGACCATTTGGCAAATTTGATTCCTTATTTGGGATCAATTACTCAGTGACTTCAAAACTGTAGGCATCTTCCATTTAGAGCCAACTACCATACCCAAATACCATGAGAAAAGCAACTGTTGCGGCATGTCTAGCCAAACTGGAAGCAGGAAATACCAGGAGTCTCACATCATGAGAAACCTTGTTGTTATGAACTTTCCAGGCTACTTTTGAGAATCAAAAATTGTGGGGCAGTTCAGGAAAGGAGACAGATTTTGCTTGCTAATTTGATCAAAACCTGAACTTTGAGGGCCAGATTTTGGTCACATTAAGAAAGGACATGTGCTTGTGTTGCACAACTGCAAAAGCAAAATCTTGCAAAATTAAAAAGCAAAATTATGGAGATAATACTGTATTCCTTCAGGATCTTGTTCATGATATACTGCCATCCTCTTAACTGCATATATGGTTCAGAAATAGGCCTTGATGAATTTGTATGTCCTTGAAGGGGGGGAAGGAGTGGAGATGGGAGCCTGATCTTGGCATGGTTTGGAGTCTGAGATTGTCAATTTTTCTTCACAAGCCAAGAAGCAACAACTGAGATTTTCAAAACTGAGCAAAACACTTTGAATGCTCAGCTTGATACACATGCAAAAGATTTACCTTTCAGTGGATGGGTATTCAGCATTGCACTAAAAGTGGGACTCTCTTAAATTGTCTCAGCTTGAGCATCCAAAAATGGAAGCACTAAAATTGCAAGTCACTTTTAAAAGTCTTACCAATTTCCTGGATAATCTAGCCCTGTGGCTATGGTTTAAAAGCATGATAAGAGCTCCAGTGAGAGTTGACTGAGCTCCACATAAACACAAGCAGGATGATTGTGTCTCAAGTCCCCCCCAGAATCAATATTTGTGGTCAGTTACAGCCTCCTTTTTACATTTACTTGTAATATTCAAAGATTGTGTGCAACAGTGAATATTATAAGCCGATTCTGTCATATAAGAACCCTTAATATAATCCATCCCTTATTTTTTGTGCAGCTCTCTCCTCTGCTTTTGAATCAGGTTAATTTAGAGTAGAGTGATTGTTTAGTTTTTCTAGTGCACTATTCTGAAGCATCTCCATTAGGTCTCATTTAACTCTTCCCCTTTCTAGAGTAACTTATTCTAGTATTGCCAATCTCTCTCCCTGTTCATTAGGAACCTTTCTTCTAACCATCTTCATCACTTCATTTGCCTTTTCAATCTCACGTGTACCTTACTCAAAATATGATACCTTGGATGATCAAGCCAGGCAACTGGACATAAAACCTTGTGACATGATTTGCCTTCATCACTCTCTAAGGGTGAGCTAAGCATCTACAGCATGTTCCGAATTAATCCAAAAACTAAGGACCCTGGATGGGACTCTCTACAACCCTCAATGCTCCCAAGCAGCTGGACAGGCAGCAAGCTGCCTGTTACTAGATCTCTGTGCTGTGGTTCCCTTTAAGCCGCACAGGCCTGGCTGAACCCAAATAGGTCCAAACCTCCAAGGCCCTGACCAGCCTCCATGTCCAATTAGAATCAGGGGGTATTTTGATACCTGCTGCACTGAACCAAAAGCACAGTTGCTAAACAACATTGAATATGGCTCCCTGTGTCCAGCTGTAACCTGAAGAGTAAATGGTCCCCAAATCTTATTTACTTACCATACAGTAAAACACCATGGCACCAGCTCCTGTGTTTACAGTGGAAATGCAATGCAGTAAATTTTGTAGATTTTCTCTTTAAAACAAAAGAAGAATCTTGGGTATGCACGGTTTATATCATGGGGCATTGCAGTTCGGGGAGAATCATTAGTTAAGGCAGTCAAGTGGCCAAAGGGCCTAGATGATTATTATTATTATTGTAAGAGTAGGTCTCAGTCACAGGGAAGAAGTTCACAGTAAAGTGGGAGGAAACCAGGGAAGGATGATTAGTTGATACAGTCCTGAAAAATTCATCCCTAGGGTGCAAACCATACTTGCATTATTGACTGAACTGATTTTCCTGAAATATTTGTTCTAAGACAAACAGGACTTGGTTCTAAAGCCCCAAAAGAACAAAATACTTAAGCATGTACTTCATTTTAAGCACATAAGTAG